ATTACCTGATTCACCACCATAAATTAAGAAAAGATTCGAAAGTGAATAAAAAGTCTGCTTATATGTTTTGGTCAATAGCATAAACATTACTTGTCTGTTTATGTACAGTAGTACTAATGGTCGACGGTAGTGGGTTCTAAGATTTCTATAATACCATTGTTTCACTGAAGAAAAATTCCAATGAAATTTAGGTAGCAAAATACCGTCATTTAAAAAAGGATAAAATGACTAAAAATATAGCGAAAACTACGAAAGAAACAGGAAGAAACGAACTAAGTAATGAATAATGAATAAATAAACGAATGAAAGTTAGCCCTGTCAGAGGGTGACATAACTTCATACGTTAAGACATCACAAAGTGTCGATTCAACGCCGAATTAAAACCAATTCAGTTGAAACGAATGAACGAATAAAAAAAGAAAGAAAGAATGAATGGGTGACCAAATAAACGAATGAATGACTGAACACAGGAACAACTAACAAATTTGTGATCGAACAAACGTATTTATAAGTGAATCAACGAATAAATGACGGAACAAGCAAGTTTAGTTCGATTTCTCTGTCTCGTCATTGGAATAAAATTATGTGGCTACTGTCATTTGGGAGTTTCGCCCCATCAGCAACTATATCAGCAGCAACACTGGCCACAGGCAAGAGATGAAAATAAAAGGAAAAGATAAAGAATGAAGTTTATCACTGTTAAGATGTCGGACTTCCTTCACTTTCATGATTGGACTATTCTGGCGCCCATTTTTATAAAGTTGTTGCGATGCTTATCTCCATCTCCATGCCATAAGCCAGGAGTACCTCATTATTTTTAAAGGCAAAGTGCACAGCCATGTGGTAAGAGCAATATTTAGTCTCTGTTCATCTTCTATTGCTTTTTTCCCACATGGTGGTATTCATTTATCAACATCGGAAGGAAAAAGGGCAAGTTACTTCAACCAGAGCTTGAACTCGAGGCACATCGATGGTGAGTTCGATTCTCTACCGAATGAGAGATTCCGGTCTGAAGCAATGAGCGGAAAATTCCTTATTCAAGGGAATTGGGGAATAAGACAAAGACTGTCTTCATGGGGAATCAAACCCGACATCTCCGGAGATCTATTAGACACTGTTTCAACACATAACAGGAAAGAAAAGTCGTTGGACTGCAGATCTTCCTTGCACTTTCATGACAGAGCACTTCTGACGCCCTTCTTTTCATGAAGATACTAGTGGGAATGTTTTTGTCCATTTCCATGCCATCGGTCAGGTACTCCTTATTTTCAAAGCAGAATCGACAGTAGGCGTGCAGCAAGTATATTATTGCATAAATCCTTGACCGAAAACGATGTGACAACGGCAGAGATTTTGAGGCGGGGGTGTAGAGAACATTTTCCTTCATGCTTTTTAGCACTTTGAAGTTGCCAATACTCTTAGCAACTTGTCCAGTTCCTATTACCTTGTTGTTGCTTTCTTTTCACGCTAATTAAGCAGTGGAACATACAGACAAAAAAACATCTGTTGAGGTTTACCTTCGAGGGAAAAAGCTATTAAATTGTTTGATATCAAAAAAGCCGCCATTTCTTTCACCAAGGTAACTTGCAGTAATAAGCGTGTAACCCTTCCAAACGAGATTTTTACAGCCACATCACTGTCTCCGTGCCACCAGATTATTATAGACTAAATGTATCCCTGCTGCTGAAACATCACCGTTGAGAGCAAGGATGTGAGATACGCTATGTATTACAAGTGCTTTAGTCCAACGGAGATATGGCGTGCCTTCCTAAATGGGAATCCAGAGCGAGGAAACGTGAAACAGTACTGCGTTTTTGCATGTTCTGGAATACAAATCTGTCTTCTAACCTCCAAACGACATTGACAAACGTATATTTTTTGCTTACTTTCTCTCTCAAAGCATTTCTTCTGAAGAACGCTTTACAAGATTCACAAGTGATGGCGTTGAAATTGAAATTGAACGCTTTGTCACCGCAAACAGCACAATATTTTGAACTTTTTACCATTTCACCGGAATATCTAAAACATATCAAGCAATGGGAAATAGTCGAACAATTATTCTAATTTATCAGATGCCATCATATGCTGAACTAGAGGCAAACGCAAGTTTCGTAACGATCAAGCTGTAGACCGAATAAGCTTAGCATAGTCATTAATTAAAACCAATGAGCCCAGTTGTATATTCGCATATATCTTGAGCGTCGATGTACGAGATGATTTTTAATCATTCTTCTTATAACAAGCTGTGTACAGGTGAAACAATTAAAACTATCTCCAGATTCGGTTATTAGTGAAAATCAGCATATGGGGTGAATCATCAGAGACAACTTAAGCAGAACTCTGTATACCCACTGCCTGACTGTACATTAAAGTCACCGCTAATGATAACGGTCTAAAAATAAAGAACTCATATAACGCAGTTATATTTGGCGAGACCTCGCAGGCTGTAACTTCAATCATAAGACATTTTCTTGATGCTAACGAAGGGAAAGGAGGGTGTTCAGTTACGCGACAAAATCATTCCAGCAGAACAGATTAATGACACCATTTCGTTGTCAGTCACCTCCATCCTTGACATCTGTTCGATTAATAGAATAGCTAAATGTAAACTTCCATAAGTATAATCATTAAATATAAACGTCACGATGTACAAGAAGTATGTGCGGGAACCATTCGTCCACTAGTCGAACTTTCAGGTCATGATAGAACCATGATAGGGCATTCGAAATTAAAATTACAGAATCCGGTCATTCTGTTTACAGCTACAGTTCGTTTCACAATCAAAATCATCCCAGAGAGAAATACGATGCCAAATGCTGCATAAGTAACAAACCTATTAACATAATGAAAGCCTCAACGACTCGTAAACCAGGTTTACACCGTTTCCCAAAGACCCATTCTAAATCACATAAACAGGCTAAAGTAAAATGGTATTTGAACACCTGCAGTACGAGATTTACACGGTGGTGGATGATGGGATGTGGTCGAACCTCGTCCCTACAAC